AATGCTGTAGAAACCACCCAGAACACCCTAGCAATGCTGTAGAAACCACCCAGAACACCCCAGCAATGCTGTAGAAACCACCCAGAAAACACTAGCAATGACCTAGCAACAACCCTGAACCTGATCCTCATCGAATTGCGCAGGTGGCAACCCTGGTGGCAAGTTTTGCATGAAGACGCACCACTCGCATTCCTTTCAAACGTGACACACACGAGTCAGTTGACTGCAGTGCATGAAACCTCTCTGTGCTTATGATTGAAGTCTTTCTTCAGTGCGCCCGAGAGAGGTTTTTCAGTATCAACAAAAACCACCGTTTTCTCTCCCCAACACAATCAGGGCAGCCCTCAAGAGCTCTCAAAGAGCAGCCTGACAGCACAGTCTAATGACTTGCCATTAACTAACTCTCTTCCCATGAAACACAGGCACTCTCCAGGTAACAGAGTGAAACTAGAGTCACGCTTAAAAGAACAAAAAAAGACTCAAGTTTGCTATCATAGAAGATCAAGCAGTTGCCTGGGGGCTTTATTTATTTTTAAAATGGCATTTCACTCCCAACTCTTAATGCGCTCTCATGCAGTCTGTCTGTCCTCTCATCTCTCCTCACGCCTGTCCTTCACACACACAGTGAAAGTGGTAGCGATGAATTATTCACCACCACTTGAACCCCACAGCCGCTCTTGTTCTCTTGCTTTTTCTGCAGCTTTAATTGGGTTTTAGAGGATAGCAATGAGGACAATATCTCATTAATCAAACAAAGAGCCGTGGTTTTTAAAAAGCTCAGATGAATGAAGGATATGGAGGTGAGCATGGCATGCTTCAGGGGAGAGAGGAGGTTAAACATTATGATAGGCATTTGAGGGGGAAACTTGTTTGGGAATAGTCATTGTTGCATTTTGTTTAGTGTAGCAAAGTATCGAGCACAGCTCACACGGAAGTCTCTTTCAAAGTAGCTGGTCAATGCCTCGAAGCCGTGTGGATAACTCGATCCCATTGCGAAGAGGAAATCCTTCACCCTTGTGTGAAATTCCCAAAAGTGTGGATTGCTTTCGAAATGACTGGATTTTGGCTGCAAAATTTCATGGGTGAAAATGAGTCATTCCAATAGGAATCCACATGATTGGGAATTTTCGTGCGATGGTGAAAAATTTGCCCGAGCAGTTTTCGCTAACTTTGTTGGTCACTTGAATTCAGCACACTGACCAACAGAAGGCCACTTGGTTTGAAAATGACTTGTGAGCTCTGCTTCATACATCGCTACAATACTGACGAGACATTTTTGGAAGCTTTTTGTCTGTGTGGGACTGCGCCATAGTGTGTTGGCTTGCACACTGTTCTCTTTTGTCGCAACCCAGGTTCCTTTGACATTTGGATAATGTGAATGCTGTTTTCTGAACATGGGTACGCACCTGCAAACTGTACCCGAGTCCACTTAAAAAGGGTGGTCTGGGGTACGGATGTGAACTCGAGAGTGGTTTGCTTCTGATGTGAATGCATATTAATGTGAATTAATATGTTTTATCGCTCACTTTCCAAGCGTGACTGACGCAAAGCAAGAAAAGAGAATTTATATCTTATTTCCACTTGTCTTCAGCAGAAATCGTCTCCCATGTTCTTTTGAACCTTTACATTTCGTTCGTGACAAATAGACACGCGCCATTATGTTTTGTCATTTTGAACCAGGCAGTTGAATTAAGTGTGAAAGCATCCTAAGTCCTTTCTCATAACCACAAAAAACAATAATTTGTACTCAAAGTTCAATTCCAAACAGGGAATACTTTTAAAGTGTTGAATCCATAATGGAAGTATACTGCTGTAAGGGTAACATATCGTTTTTGCATTCAACTGCGCTGCTTTTCCACTGTTTTTCTATGTGAACATCCTCAAATTCTGTGTGATCAACCCCTAAAGGCCCGTTCACACCAAGGACGATAACTATAAAGATAACGATAAAGTCGTTAAAAATCATTCTCGATATTAAAGAATAGCAGAGTCCACACCACAACTATAACGATAAAGACAAAAGAAACAATATCGTTCGAATCACTTTCAAAACGATTTTTCTCCAGCTGATGAACGATAAAAAATTGACAGCCAATCAGAATCCATCCTGCTGTAACGAGCTCGAGAATTTAAAGCGACAGACGAGCGTGCGCTTAGAATAAACAGACGATATCGTTCACTGGCGTGGACGCTAATATCGTTATATTTTATAGTTATCGTTCTTGGTGTGAACGGTGCTTAACACTTTTTTAAAAGTATACTACACAGACTTAATACACAAGGTTAATTTTCTCACATTTTTATATGTCGCAAAGTGTCAACACAAGTATACCTTGTGTTCTCAGTTTTGCCACAAGGGGCACTCAAATGGACGTTAGTATAAACTATTTGCCAATGCTAATAACTATAGTAGCTGGTTACTACAGTAACTAGTTAGTGTTGCAATGAGATTGGGCTAATAACATCACTCTGTCGGCAAAATTATGTCGAACATTTTAACCTGAGGTACAAGTACAAGATATAATCAACAGAATCTGTACAAAACATTAGGCTAAAAATATCTTATTTTAAAATCAAAGACATAGGTTAATTTTCTCACATTTTTATATGTCGCAAAGTGTCAACACAAGTATACCTTGTGTTCTCAGTTTTGCCACAAGGGGCACTCAAATGGACGTTAGTATAAACTATTTGCCAATGCTAATAACTATAGTAGCTGGTTACTACAGTAACTAGTTAGTGTTGCAATGAGATTGGGCTAATAACATCACTCTGTCGGCAAAATTATGTCGAACATTTTAACCTGAGGTACAAGTACAAGATGTAATCAACAGAATCTGTACAAAACATTAGGCTAAAAATATCTTATTTTAAAATCAAAGACATTTAAAGGGACACTCCACCCCAAAATGAAAATTTTTGTCATTAATCACTTACACTTTTGTCGAACGAAAACAGTGCATCCGTGCAGCGCGGCTGACACAGAAGAGCGTATGCTGCTTGCGTTCAGCGGATATTCTCCAAAATGGCTCTACGGTGATGCGGAGAGACACAGAGGAGACGAATTGTTGAATAAAGTCGTTATTTTAGGTTTCTTCACATACAAAAAGTATTCTCGTCGCTTCATGACGTTACGGTTGAACCACTGATGGCAGATGGACTATTCTGACGATGCTTTTCATACTTTTCTGGACCTTGACAGTGTAAGTTACTTGGCAGTCAATGGGACAGTCACAAGCCTCCCGGTTTTCATCCAAAATATCTTAAATTGTGTTCCGAAGACGAACGAAGCTTTTACGGGTTTGGAACGACATGGGGGTAAGTGATTAATGACAACATTTTCATTTTGGGGTGGAGTATCCCTTTAAAGCTCATTTTCAGTAGCGCTAAAAGAAAATAAAAAAGTGCGTAGTATAGCTAGTTAGAGATGTTAGTGTGCTTTCACTGGAACACTTTGACTACTAAGATATTTCATCTTGACTATGATTGTAGAGATGTTCATCAATGTCAGGCACACACACACAGTCAACATTTAAAAAAAAAAAAGACCGTCATGTCTTATCATTGATATAAATATAACCGCATGAACTGCAGGGCTGTGGTCATACTCCGCATGTATGACTGGCTCGATAAGGATCTTTGCGTGTCTGCAGTGAGGCAGTAGCTGGGTTGGAGATGCAGAGAGCAGAACACATGCCTGGGGCCTGTTCTGTTCACACAGATAAGCAGCTGTCACAGCTGTCATGCACTCCAAAACTTATGATACTGCATCCTGTATCAGGCAGAGCATGATCCCGCTCGTGATTGTGAGGCTGTGGTGTGTTTCTGCTGACATCTGCTAGGGTCTAAAAGTCATTCCTGCGGAGGACCAAAGGCTACACTGTTTTGATCGGCTTTACTTTGCTTGTTATTTTGACAGACAGTCTGACAAACATATAAAGTGGCCAAAGTTAATCAATGAGTGAATAAATCTGAAATCAGATATAACTTAATGTGACATTATAAGTGTGCATAAAACCTGCACAAATCTGAAACTGAAACAGCTTCTCTTCGTAACGACTTGATTTTGTTCATCTGAAATTAATTGTCTGGATCATGGAAAGTGTTGCAAAAGAAATGAAGGATTGTTTTATGTGAGTGTGACGGGTTGCTTTTTATTTAGGGATGTTATTTCATACAAAACCCTGAATGTCTTTCAAAGATTGAATAAAAGGAGCTAGTGAGGCACCAAAAAGTTTTCATTTAGTCGAAAATCAAAACCAAAATTTGTTTATTAAATAATCAATTAATTAATCAAATCATGTACTAATCAGCCCTCAAGTAAAAACTGAGTTATATATATAAAATTTAAAATGCACATAAGGCAGTTTTTATATTAACTTTTTAATGAAATACGTTAATTTGTTTTCGAACTATTTAAAAAGGGGCTGTAATGACAGATTTAATTAAATAACGAAGACAACAAGTTTAGCAGCAAAATGCTTTTTTTCCTAACTAATGAGTTTATAGACATTAATGGCTTTCCTGTGGTAAGTGCATGTGGTTTACGAGTTTTATTGATTTATTTTTTTTGCACATCAGCTGAAAACAGCACAGACTAAAAGATCTCAGATCGTCATAAACAAGATTAATAAAAAATGAGAACGTGATATTGTCAACCCAGATCAGGAATCCACACAGCTGACATGTTTACCTGTTATAGTTTTATCCATGTTGTGTGCACACAATAGATACCGATGCAGAACACACCAGTAGAGAAACTAATTCAACATCACAGTTTCAGACAAGAATTTCTTCCCTCCAAAACTGGATATTCATTTTTGGCTGAATATTTTTGGTTGCCTCAATGATCAATCAACAGCTATGATTTGGAAAAGCTTATGCCATTTTTATGAAAACTATGCATCAGATGACAAGCATGATTTCCACTGCTTGGCTTATGTCATGTTTTATGAGATTTGAATATGGCGGTCCTGACTGTTTTGGGTCTGTGTCTCTAGTACAGGATTGGTCAGCTGTACATGATCAGCAAGCACAGTCATGAGCAGAGCGAGAGAGGAGAGGGTGTGGAGGTGGTGCAGAACGAACCGTATGAGGACCCCAACTACGGCCCGGGACAGTTCACGGAGAAACGCATTTATCTCAACAAGTGAGTAGCAACTGTCATCAATTACCCGTCAAGGCAAAACACCTCTGCAGAGTCTCTAGGTATTTCAGTTCAAAGTGTGTGATACTAGACTCAGACTGTATTAGTCAATCAACACACGAAGAGTTCATTTGCAAAAACCGATAAACGCCACTTTAAAAAAAAAAAGAGCTGATTGCCGTGCATTATTCTCCACATGTAGCGCGATCTGAACCCTAAACACGTTTCGTCACGTTTTCAAAGCTGGTTTTGTCCACTTTCAAGGCATCACGAGTTCAGGTTTCACTGCAGAAGCCGACAAGCGTCCTTGTTGTTTTTGAAAAGAAGCCGATGTTCATTTCAGCGAATCAGCGCGCTGTATTCAGGTCGGGTGACAAGGCTACATTCACTTTGAAAAGACGTGCTAGCTGAGAGGAGTTTCGTCAAAGCTGACTAAAAGTGATCGAGGATGGATAATTTAGACGATAAATGCGCAATAAAAAAAAACTATGTTAAAAATTTATGTTATCGGTTTTTGCAAACTCTTCACATACACTACCAGTCAAAAGTTGGTGCTTAATTATTATTAATTTTAATGGGTCCTCAATTATTAATAATGGTTCTTATTATCGATGTTGAAAACTTTACCTAATATTTTTGTGGAAACAGTGATACTTTTTTTTCTGGATTCTTTGATGAATAGAAAGTTCAAAAGAACAGCATTTCAATCTTTTGTAACAATATAAATGTCTTTACTCTCACTTTTGATCAATTTAATGCATCCTTGCTGAATATAAGTATTATTTTCTTTTTAAATGTTACTTTTACTTTATTCTTTTGAATGGTAGTGTATCGCAGTTTCCGCGAAAATATTAAGCAGCACAACTGTTTTCAACACTGATAATAATAATCAGCAATGTTTCTTGAGCAGCAAATCAGCATATTAGAAGGATTTCTGAAGAATCAAGTGACACTGAAGACTGGAGGAATGATTCTGAAAATTCAGCTTTGCATCACAGGAAGAAATTATATTTTAAAATATGTTGCAATAGAAATTTGTTATTTTAAATTGTAATGATATTGCACATTATTACAGTTTTTACTGTATTTTTTATCAAATAAATGCAGCCTTGTTGAGCAAAAGCGACTTCTTTTAAAAACATGAAAAAATCTTAATCATTCCAAACTTGTGGACATACATTTGAAAAAAGAAACATAATTTGTTAAAGTGCCCCTGTTATGGATTTTTGAAAATTGCCTTTCATTCAGTGTGTAACAGCTCTAAGTGAATGAAAACATCCTGCAAAGTTTTAAATCTGAAAGAGCACCGTGTATAAAGTTATTGTCTCTCAAAAGAAAGAGCCGACTCTGAATCATTGAAACGAGTCGTTTTTTAAAACGAATCCCAAGCCGTTTCATGTTGACGTCAACATGAAACATTAGCATATTCCCCGCCCACTTCTTGGTCTTTTCGCATTGGTCTGAATGAAAATGCAAATGCATTCTTTGCCACTAGGTGCCGCTTCTGGAGCGGTAAAATAGCTGTTTCCCCGGTAAAGCTGTACACAAAGCAGCACTGCGCTCACAAACGCCGCTTTATCAGGCGTTACAGGCGAGATGACATTAAAATTAGACCAATCACCGCAGATTAGCGTCACGCAAAGCAGGGGTTTGGAAAAATGAGTCGCTGAGCAAGTAAGGTAAAAATAAATGCATATTATAAGACAATGAAAGTGTTTTTTGACCTTGCATGCTTGTCAACCTGTTGTTGGGGACTCCCAAAACCAAAATATGAATCTTTCATTACCCATAATAGGGGCACTTTAACATCACTCATGTAGCCAAACCATAACAAGCCTTTTAACTATCAGCATAAAGTCCACTTTGTCCAACATATAAACATGCATGTCTAACAACAAACTCTTGTTGGTTGCTTTACATGACATTTGATATGACATTTAGAGGTTTAGATCTGATAAACTGACAAGCAACAAAGTGGCAGCTCATTCAAATAATGTCAGTCTCCTTGAACAGACCTACTGAACACAGTAGAAATGAGTGCTTGACTTTATAGCGTGTCTGCTTCTACTGCATGAACTGGGCGCTTGCTCAAGCTTCTAAAGCAAGAATGAGTTCTCTGTTAACTCAGACATGTCTACAGTGTCACATGATCCTTCAGAAATCTTTCTAATATGCGGATTTGCTGCTCAAAACCATTTCTGATTATTATCAATGTTGAAAACAGTTGAGCTGCTGAGTATATTTATTATAATTCATTTTCATTGATGAATATAAAGTTGAAAAGAACGGCATTTATTTGAAATGGAAATCTTTTGTAACATGATAAATGCCTATACTGGCACTTTTGAGCAATTCTTTGTTGGATAAAAGTATTAATTTCTTTCAAAAAAGTCTTACTGACCCCAAACAGTATTGTTCCTGGTCTTATTGTGCATGATTCACCCAGTATGTTATGCAAAAGGCAAAATTATTTTTGTGGTTTTTGTAAATGTGCATACTTATGATTTCACTGTTGTTAAATATTTGACTTTGCTTTTCAGCTGACGTCACCTACACTGTTTACCTTTAGCCAAATGGATGAATGGATAAAAATAAAGCCCTGCCCTGCCAATGTACTAAAAATGTTTTTTAGTACATTGACATTGAGCCTCAGTCGGGGTCAATGCAGTCCACAGGAGATCTTCAATTCATTCTCACTAAGAGAGCAGTCTCTAAACGGCTGCTAGTTTAACAAGAACAAGCAAGGGCATGACTCGAGACCCAAACACTTTCCCAAAAATAGCCAGTAAATGGGTTCAGGACACTGTCTCCCAAGACACTGCTGATAAATCAATCGCTCATGCAGATGTGTTTTTGGAGAGACGCTTTATTGAGCTGAGACATCAGTCCCCCAGGACCGGTCTGATTAAATTGTTGCTCTGTGGGTCAAGATTGGCTGGGAGGTGGTCATGACAGCACTAGCAACTAGTTTAGACCAAGGGCAAAAGATTGGGTGGACTGTTGGCCTTCTGTGAATGGGTTTAGTGGATCTATAAGTGATTTTATCACATTGTCTTTTCACGTTTTCAAGCTTGGTCATTTTATCAGAAATAAATGCATGCAGAGCTGTAGTTCTGCTCTGTGATCCAGATGGGTTTCCGGCTAAATGATTCAGAAAATTCACCATTGTAACCAGTGTTGTTATTGTTAACCAAAACTAAATTTTTGGTAAAATTTGGTAATATTTTGGTAAAAAAAAATATATATATATATTAGATGAAAAACATACTAAATTAGAAATGTTGCTTGGCAGCTAACTGAAATAAATAAGTGTAAAATGAAGTACTGAAATAACTAAAACTGAAATAAAAACAATGCCTAGTCATAAATAGAAATGTTAAATAAATAAATACAACTAATAAAAATGGCAATCTCTCAATGGATAAAATTAGGGCTGCCCCACATTTGTTTTAATGCCTAATTATCATTCGGAAATTATAATAAATGATGTCAGTGTACTCCACCACTGTATATATATATATATATATATATAAAAAGCAGAAAGTCTGTAACAATTATTATAACCTACTGTAACTAAAATTAAAATGAAAGCTGAAGATAAAAAATATAAGCTAATTCAAAATATTAATAAATACTATAATAGTATATTAATAATACTAAAATTGTTACAGCCTCTCTACTGTTTTACTTGTACATAACCGGCTGACATAACCAGATTTTTAAACAGACTGATTTAAATGCAGGTTATATGTAGACAGATCTGTTTATTTTTTCTGTTCAGACTGCGGTCACTTTTGCTAGCACATCCACACTAGTTGTCATAGTAACGGGGCAAACTTCACCATGCGTGAGACTTTAGCAATACATGTTCTGCCACTGATTGTGTTTCATTAGGGTAGAGTATCCAAATCTGAATTTGCTGCAGACAACTGTGTAAAGAACAGAAAGGGTGTAATGCCTAGGTAATGTACCATAGTTAAGCAAAAAGATATGGCCCCTAAAAATGACCCCGTTGACCGGTGGAAATGTGTCCATGTAACTTTTCAAGAGGACCGTTGCCTTGCTAACTTCAAGTTGTTTAAGAAGGGAAGAATTTGACATGCTAAAAGTGGCCCTATTATGCCATTTTTAAAGGAACACACCACTATTTTTGAAAATAGGCTCATTTTCTCAACTCCCCTAGAGTTAAACAGCTGAGTTTTACCGTTTTCGAATCCATTCAGCCGATCTCCGGGTCTGGCGGTAGCACTTTTAGCTTAGCTTAGCATAGATCATTGAATCTGATTAGACCGTTAGCATGTTCAGAGCAGCCAGCCATTGATTCTTTCGTTCCTTGTTTTTCGTTGGAATTCTATGAAACGTGACGGTAGAGTACACCTTCGACTTACTATCACAGTAATGCTACTATCACTTTACAATGCACATAACCATGGCTAATCGCACACAGGTAAATCCAGCCACTAACCAATTTGCCGGCTGCAACTCTGCAACTACACAAACTTCGTGACGGTCATGTTGGAAGTTAGCTGGGGACTATTTTCAGGCGCTGCGTAATATCATTGTGTCTGCTGCACTCATGGTACGGCAGCAAAGTTCCTTGATTATTACGCCGGAATGAGAGTATAGTTCCTAGCCATATCGGCCTAGAAAATCACAACTTTTCATTTTCCGTCGGTCTTAGTACACGATGTAACTACAGAAGAGTCGAGTTTTAAATAGTCATTTAAATGGTCATTTTTGAGCGAGATGCTAACGGTCTAATCAGATTCAATGATCTATGCTAAGCTGCAGCTAAAAGTGCTACCGCCAGACCCGGAGATCGGCTGAATGGATTCGAAAACGGGACAAATAGGGGGAGTTGGAAAATGATCCTATTTTCAAAAATAATGGCGTGTTCCTTTAAGGTTCCTCATATTGTTTTGGGAGGCTCCAACAACAGGTTAACATGCATGCAAGATCAAAAAACATTTTCTCATAATATACATTTAATTTCACCTCAGTTC